GTCACAGCCGCAGCGGGGGAGGGTGGGGCTGGGGACTCAAGGATGTGGGCTGGCGCTTCCCGGCACTGTGCACAGCAGGTTGGGGCCCCCAGCCCCCCTCCCAGCCTGTTGGTGTCCCCACGGGCAGGCTCAGACACACTGACCCAGAAGCAGACTGTCAGACAGAAGGACCCTTTTGACTTTGTGCACAGACATGGGATAGGTGGTGCCCTTGGGAGGGGTCCAAGAAAATGGCTGCCTGGGTGTGGTGAGGAGGGGAGCCAGCTGCTTCCCTCAGATCCTGGAGGCTGCAAGAGAGAGCAGTGGACAGAGTCAGGAGGTCTGGCAGGAGGACATGCCCAAAGGTCCTCACGGGTGGGTGGAACAGAAGCAACCACTGGAGAGGAGGTTTTCTCTTTTGCCAAGATCACACCCTTGGGCCCCAAGTGGGAGGTCTCCAGAGCAGGGAGGTTTGGTGAGCCCCACCCTCAGGAAGGGAGACATCTCAAAGACTCTCAGGGAGCCATGGGTCAACCATACTGTTGGAAATAGGACTTGGAGATTCCACAGTCTGAGCCCCTTCCCTCCTTTGTGAGGTTCTTACCCACAATCCTGCCTTCAAGACCAACAGTTGAGAGAGCCTGGCCTGGGAGGGGCCAGTCCACAGTCTACCACCAGTCATGGGAGAGAGTAGGACCCTGAGTGATGGAGTAGGCAGGGCAGGGAGGCGCAGCTGTGGCCTGGGAATTGCAAAGAGAAAAGGGACGGTGGACAGAGGGATGTTTTCTGTCTGGCTGGATAGGCGACAGAAGGGCTCTCTCCGTGCTCTTTTGTGGCCTTGGGCAAAGTCCCTTTCCCTCTTTGGATCTCAGTTTCCTCATCTGTAAAATGGGAAGAGCACAAGGTGGCACTAGAACAGGGTACCCATGGGGGAGCTGATTAAAAATACAGATTCCCAGATGTCCCTTCAGACCCGTGAGTCAGACTCCCCTGGACCAGGGCCTGGGTATCTGGAATGTTACACAGCTCCCCAGGCCCAGGGTTTGGAAGCCAAATGGCTTGGCGATTTTAAGGTTCCTCCCAGCCTTAAATTAGACCACAGCTCTAGAAGAAGGAGTGGCTGAAGGAAAGTTGCGGGAGCTTGGAGGGGAAGGAGACTTCGGACTTAGGGCAGAATTAGGAATCCTGCCACTTAAGCAGCTATGTGACATCAGGCAAGTTCTGCAACCACCACTCTGAGCCTGTTTCCTCTGTAACACAGGGATCGTAAACCATGGCTCCTGGGTTGCTGGGAAGATTCCATGGGTCATATGTGTGGAAGTGCTTTGTAGATTGCAAATCGCTGCCCACCGCAGGGGAGTGAAAGAATGTTCCTTTCCACACCATCCTGTCCCTGAGTTGGCTCTGCAGTGTTCCCGTGGGATGATAGCACTGGGCAGCAGCTGGTAGGAGTCTACATGTGTCTGTGGGGGGTCGACCCACGGGATCAGGTCAGAGCCAAACACTAAGGAGTGATCGGGGTCCAACTTTTAAGACCCTTCCCGTGGTCAGGGCCCTGAGTCTTCAGGCTCCCTTGGGAGTCAGACATGCCTGGATTTAAATCCCAGCTCTGCCCTGACCAGCTCAGGGAGTCAGTCAGTAAATATTTACGTAGCATCCAAAGCCCAGGCCCTGAGGTCAGGGGATACCGTGGTAAACAAGACGGATACAGTCCCTGCCCGTGAAGGGCCTACGCTCTGGGGGGAGACAACACCAAAAAGCCAGTCATACAAGTAATTGTTTGCAGTTGTGATAAATACTATGAAGGGGATGTGGAGACAACTCTGAGAGTAGGTAGCAGGGGCCAGACTGTGGCCAGAGGTGCTTGGGGCCGGTGGAGGGTCAGAGAGGGTCTGTCTGATAAAGGTGAGAGAGGGGTCAGACAATGGCCCTTTCCACATTCTTGTCTCTCACCCTCACTCCGCACCCTTCCTGGGTTCCACTTGTGGTCTGGAGAGGGGCGAGAGAGAACTACATGGAAAAAGGCTGGGCTCATTGCTCTGTGTACCTCGTTCATTCATTCATAAGAAATAGTAAATATTTTTTGAAGCATGCCTGTGGGCCACGTGCTGATCCGGGTGTTGGATTGGAAGTGCCTTCGTGGTTCTCACCACCTTCCAGTAGATGGTTTCCTCACCTGTAAAAGAGGGGATGATAATCACACTGATCTCAGGTTTGCAGGGGGCTTAGATGAGATCACCCACAAAAAGTGCTTATTAGCCCATCGTCTGGCAACAGAGAAAGTATCCCCAGAGTGTGAGCTTTTATTGTTGTTGACTCCCTGGTATGATTGTTAAACCTCTGACCTGAGGCACTCTTCGCTTTTTCTTTGCAGCTCTTATCCCAGTAATAATTAAATCAGTTATGATTATGTGATCACTGTTTGTCTACCCGGTCTTTGTGCAAAGTAGGCACTCCATAAATAATGAGTATATGAATGAATGATGTGACTTCATCTCTGAGCCTCCATTTCTTCATCTGCAAAATGGGGTTATTAATAGCCCCTACCTCACAGGATTTGTATGAAGAATTAAATGAAACGATGCCTGGACAGCTTCCAGCCCAGCGCCTGGCGCGCAGTAGGTGCTCACTAAACCTGAGCTGCGGTGGTCCTTTCCAGGCGCTGTCCACGCCCCGAGGCCTGGGCTCAGGCCGAAGCTGCTCCCCAGCACCCCCAGCTGACAGCCAGCAACCGGCAGAGCCCCCGGGCACGGGGGCCCTCTCTCTCCCAGGTCAGCCGGGTGTGTGCACTGGAGGGAGCACCGAGGGAGCCGGGGGTGGTGTGCGGAGCAGACCGGGCCAGCGGGCAGCGGTTGGGCTGTGGCCACCAGACCATTCAGATCCTCTGTTGCCTGTCTTGTTGTCCACAGAGATCTCCAGTGTGACAGCCCAGGCGGCAGAGCCGAGGGTGAGTGGCCAGGCTTCTCCTGGAGTCCTGAGGATGGGGGCAAGAGGGAAGAGGTCATGCCCTTGATAGGATTTCCTGGCCCTCTGTGTAAGTTTGATCTGGAGTGGCCGCCCCAGTCTGCCGATGGGCTTCCCTCTCAAAGGCAGGCATCCTCTTCTCCCTGAGCCCATAACCAACGTCTGAAAGTGGGTGAGCTGTTACTTGGTAGGACTGGGACCCCTGAGGGGTTCATGGTGCGTGGGGTAGTTTGGGAAGGGCTGGGAGTCAACGGGACGTTGGGCTTGAAGGGACTCATGGGAGAGGTGCAGGGGTTCACTGAGGACGTGGGAAGCTGAGAAGGTCTTGGGCATTGAGTGAGGGCTCTCTTGCCTGTCCTGCCCGGCAGGTCTTGGTCCCGGCTTCTCGCACCCTCATGTCAGCCCCGGCCCCGCCCGGCGGCCCGCGGAGGACAAGGTCAGGATGCGTGTGAAGCCCCAGGGCCTGGTGGTGACTTCCAGTGCCGTGTGCAGCTCTCCTGACTACCTCCGGGAGCCCAAGTACTACCCCGGCGGCCCCCCTACCCCACGGCCCTTGCTTCCTACCCGGCCCCCTGCCAGCCCACCCGACAAGGCCTTCGCCCACACCTTCTCCGAGAACCCACGCCCACCCCCACGCCGGGACCCCAGCACCCGGCGCCCACCAGTCCTTGCCAAGGGGGACGACCCGCTGCCCCCAAGGGCGGCCCGTCCCGTCTCACAGGCCCGCTGCCCCACACCCGCGGGAGACGGCAACAGCTCCCGACGTCGCTGGGACAACGGGCGGGTGAACCTGCGTCCAGTGGTGCAGCTGATTGACATCATGAAGGACCTGACGCGACTCTCCCAAGACCTGCAGCATAGCGGTGTGCACCTGGACTGCGGTGGCCTCCGACTCAGCCGCCCACCTGCCCCGCCCCCTGGTGACCTTCAGTACAGCTTCTTCTCCTCACCCAGCCTGGCCAACAGCATCCGCAGCCCTGAGGAGCGGGCCACCCCCCATGCTAAGTCCGAGAGGCCCAGCCACCCACTCTATGAGCCTGAGCCCGAGCCTAGGGACAGCCCCCAGCCTGGTCAAGGCCATAGTCCCGGAGCCACGGCCGCGGCCACCGGTCTGCCCCCAGAGCCTGAGCCAGACGGCCCTGATTACTCAGAACTTGCTGACGCCGACATCCTTAGCGAGCTGGCCTCCCTAACTTGCCCCGAGGCCCAGCTGCTGGAGGCCCAGGCCCTCGAGCCACCATCTCCTGAGCCAGAGCCTCAGCTCCTGGACCCCCAGCCCCGCTTCCTGGACCCACAGGCTCTAGAGCCGCTCGGGGAAGCTTTGGAGCTGCCACCCCTGCAACCTCTTGCTGATCCTCTGGGGCTGCCAGGCCTGGCTCTCCAGGCCCTGGATACCCTGCCCGACTCCCTGGAGTCGCAGCTGCTTGACCCTCAGGCACTTGACCCCCTGCCCAAGTTGCTTGATGTCCCTGGCCGCCGTCTGGAGCCTCAGCAGCCCCTGGGGCCCTGCCCACTGGCTGAGCCCTTGCGCCTGGACTTGTGCTCACCCCACGGCCCCCATGGGCCTGAGGGTCACCCCAAGTACGCCTTGCGGCGCACTGATAGGCCAAAGATCCTGTGTCGCCGGCGGAAAGCTGGACGGGGACGCAAGGCAGACGCTGGACCAGAGGGCCGCCTGCTGCCCCTGCCTATGCCCACAGGGCTGGCAGCTGCCCTGGCCGAGCCCCCGCCGCCGCCACCTCCACCACCTCCTGCCCTGCCGGGCCCAGGCCCAGTCCCAGAGCTGGAGCCAGAATCTTCCCAGACTCCAGTAGCCCCTACCCGCAAAGGCAAGTGCCGGGGTGTGCGGCGCATGGTGGTGAAGATGGCCAAAATCCCTGTATCGCTGGGGCGGCGGAACAAGACCACATACAAGGTGTCATCCTTGAGCAGCAGCCTCAGTGTGGAGGGCAAGGAGCTGGGCCTACGCGTGTCAGCCGAGCCCACCCCGCTGCTGAAGATGAAGAACAATGGACGGAACGTGGTGGTGGTTTTCCCGCCCGGGGAGATGCCCATTATTCTTAAGCGTAAACGCGGCCGCCCTCCTAAGAACCTGCTTCTGGGTCCCGGCAAGCCCAAGGAGCCAGCGGTGGTAGCGGCTGAAGCGGCCACCGTGGCAGCGGCCACCATGGCCATGCCAGAGGTGAAGAAACGGCGGCGGCGGAAGCAGAAGCTGGCATCTCCCCAGCCATCCTACGCAGCAGACGCCAATGACAGTAAGGCCGAGTACTCTGACGTCCTCGCCAAGCTGGCCTTCCTGAACCGCCAGAGCCAGTGCGCTGGGCGGTGCTCACCCCCCCGCTGCTGGACACCCAGCGAGCCCGAGTCGGTACACCAGGCACCCGACACCCAGAGCATCTCCCACTTCCTGCACCGTGTGCAGGGCTTCCGACGGCGTGGTGGTAAAGCAGGCGGTTTTGGTGGCCGGGGTGGGGGCCATGCAGCCAAGGCAGCCCGATGCTCCTTCAGTGACTTCTTCGAGGGCATTGGCAAGAAAAAGAAAGTGGTGGCAGTGACAGCTGCTGGCGTTGGGGGTCCCAGCCTCACCGAATTGGGGCACCCACGCAAACGGGGCCGGGGGGAGGTGGACGCCATGACTGGGAAGCCCAAGCGCAAGAGACGGTCCCGGAAGAACGGGACTCTGTTCCCAGAACAGGTGCCTAGTGGCCCAGGCTTTGGGGAGGCAGGCGCCGAGTGGGCCGGGGACAAGGGTGGCGGCTGGGCCCCTCACCATGGGCACCCAGGCGGGCAAGCCGGCCGAAACTGTGGGTTCCAGGGGACCGAGGCCCAGGCCTTTGCCTCCACTGGACTAGAGAGTGGGGCTTCAGGCCGCGGCAGCTACTACAGCACAGGTGCACCTGCGGGTCAGACCGAGCTCAGCCAGGAGCGCCAAAACCTCTTCACCGGCTATTTTCGCTCACTGCTCGATTCGGATGACTCCTCCGACCTCTTAGACTTTGCCCTCTCAGCCTCTCGCCCCGAGTCCCGGAAGGCATCAGGCACCTACGCAGGGCCCCCCACCAGCACCCTGCCCTCCCAGCGGGGCCTGGCCACCTTCCCCAGCCGGGGAGCCAAGGCCAGCCCAGTGGCTGTGGGCACCAGCGGGGCTGGTGCGGACCCCTCCTTCCAGCCTGTCTTACCCTCTCGCCAGACCTTCCCACCAGGCCGGGCAGCGAGCTATGGGATAACTCCGGCCACTTCAGACTGCCGGGCAGCCGAGACCTTCCCAAAACTGGCTCCCCCACCTTCAGCTGTGGCCCGCTCACCTACCACCCACCCACCCACCAACACCTACCCACCCCAATATGGCGGCTACGGGGCTGGACAAAGTGTTTTTGCCCCGGCTAAGCCCTTTACGGGCCAGGACTGTGCTAACAGCAAGGACTGCAGCTTCGCCTACGGCAGCGGCAACAGCCTGCCTGCCTCTCCCAGCAGCGCCCACAGCGCCGGCTACGCCCCACCGCCTACTGGTGGCCCCTGCCTGCCACCCAGCAAGGCCTCCTTCTTCAACAGCTCTGAGGGGGCCCCCTTCTCTGGCTCAGCCCCCACACCCCTGCGCTGTGACAGCCGGGCCAGCACCGTCTCACCCGGCGGCTACATGGTACCCAAGGGCACCACCGCCTCTGCCACCTCTGCTGCCTCTGCCGCCTCCTCCTCCTCCTCCTCCTTCCAGCCCTCGCCTGAAAACTGTCGGCAGTTTGCGGGGGCTTCTCAGTGGCCTTTCCGGCAGGGCTATGGAGGCCTGGACTGGGCCTCGGAGGCCTTCAGTCAGCTCTACAATCCCGGTTTCGACTGCCACGTCAGCGAGCCCAACGTGATCCTGGACATCTCCAACTACACGCCGCAGAAGGTGAAGCAGCAGACGGCCGTGTCCGAGACCTTCTCCGAATCATCCTCCGACAGCACCCAGTTCAATCAACCGGTCGGCGGCGGTTTTCGGCGTGCCAACAGCGAGGCCTCGAGCAGCGAGGGCCAGTCGAGCCTGTCCAGCCTGGAGAAACTAATGATGGACTGGAATGAGGCGTCCTCTGCCCCCGGCTACAACTGGAACCAGAGCGTCCTCTTCCAGAGCAGCTCCAAGCCGGGCCGTGGACGGCGGAAGAAGGTGGACCTGTTCGAGGCCTCACATCTGGGCTTTCCATCGTCCGCCTCGGCCACTGCCTCAGGCTACCCGTCCAAACGGAGCACCGGGCCCCGGCAACCACGAGGTGGACGGGGTGGTGGGGCCTGCTCAGCCAAGAAGGAGCGAGGCGGTGCAGCAGCCAAAGCCAAGTTCATCCCCAAGCCGCAGCCAGTCAACCCCCTGTTCCAGGACAGCCCGGACCTTGGCCTGGACTACTACAGTGGAGACAGCAGCATGTCGCCACTGCCGTCCCAGTCAAGGGCCTTTGGTGTGGGTGAGCGAGACCCTTGTGACTTCATGGGACCCTACTCCATGAACCCGTCCACCCCTTCTGACGGCACCTTCGGCCAAGGCTTCCACTGCGACTCGCCCAGCCTGGGTGCTCCTGAGTTAGACGGCAAGCATTTCCCGCCTCTGGCCCACCCACCCACGGTGTTTGATGCTGGCCTGCAGAAGGCGTACTCACCCACCTGCTCACCCACACTGGGCTTCAAGGAAGAGCTGCGGCCGCCACCCACGAAGCTGGCTGCCTGCGAGCCCCTCAAGCATGGGCTCCAGGGGGCCAGCCTGGGCCACGCAGCTGCAGCCCAGGCCCATCTTAGCTGTCGGGACCTGCCACTGGGCCAGCCCCACTATGACTCCCCCAGCTGCAAGGGCACAGCTTACTGGTACCCGCCAGGCTCAGCTGCCCGCAGCCCGCCCTATGAAGGGAAGGTGGGTACGGGGCTGCTGGCTGACTTCCTGGGCAGGACGGAGGCCGCGTGCCTCAGTGCCCCACACCTGGCTAGCCCGCCGGCCACGCCCAAGGCCGACAAGGAGCCACTGGAGATGGCCCGGCCGCCTGGCCCACCCCGTGGCCCCGCTGCTGCCGCTGCTGGCTATGGCTGCCCACTCCTTAGTGACTTGACCCTGTCCCCTGTGCCGAGGGACTCGCTGCTGCCCCTGCAGGATACCGCCTACAGGTATCCAGGCTTTATGCCACAGGCGCATCCCGGCCTGGGTGGGGGCCCCAAGAGCGGCTTCCTGGGGCCCATGGCGGAACCTCACCCTGAGGACACATTCACCGTCACCTCCCTGTAGTGCCAACTGAAGTGCCGACTGGACCTCGAGGTTTTGTTCCTGGGTGAGTCTGGGGATGCGGGTGGAGTGGGCGGAGGCCTGGGGGGTGGGAAGGATGAGGACGTTAGAGCTTGGACAAGGGGAAGAGGTGCAGTGATGAGCAGGAAGGATTTAAGGACAAGCTCAGGGACCCGATAATAGGAAGTTGGGATTCAGGAAGGAGTCTGGGATTAGGTGTTGGGGACGGTCTTCAGGAAGGGATGGGGTGCTTGGGTGGGGAACCCAGCATGAGGCTTGGACGTTGAGTTACTGAAATGGTTGGAGAACCCTGGACTGGATGTGGCCATCTGGTTTGGTTCATCAAATGTTTATCTTCCTTGTCCAGGCCAGCTCCTAGGTGGGCACTGCCTGAGTCCCAGGAAATACCTACCACTTGACCTCTTGCAAGGGAGGGCATGTGCAGGGCCCTGTGGGAGATGAGCGAAAGGTGAAGCAGGGTGATAATTAACTGCCAGGGCCCATCCAGGGTACAGCCCCTGCCAGCCTCCCACACTTCTCTAGGAGCTTCATTTAGTCCGAGATGCAGTCTGGCAGGGGTCAGGCCGAGGGTGTGGTCACTATGTCCTGGTCACACTCTGCGAGGGCTTTTTACAGAATGGCCTGAAGTGTCTTTCCTGGTCCCTCGGGGTGCACCCAGAGATTATTTGTCAATATCTTCAACCTGAGGTGGGCTCAGAGTGGTCAGAGGCAGGCGGGCTAGGGATCCAGGAGTGGAGAAAGGTTGCTGGGATCCTGCTGTGCCTGACAACCCGTACCCAGTGGGTCTATCCCCAGGCAGGATATTTCCTGCCTAGAAGAGACCAGTCCCTTTCCGGAAGCCGAATGCTTTTCCAAGAGTTCTGCTAAATTTCGCTAGATGTTTAGGCACCGTGTCCTCATTAGGTGGAGTCAAAAATTTTAGTATTCTTAAGATTTTGTTTAAGAAAAGGAAAATAAACGAGGGGGAAATGCCTCCAAAATGGTAAAAAGAGACAGGGTTGGAAGAGTCATTTTCTTGAAGCACAACCAGCTCCAGAAAGACAGCCACAGCTGGTCCATCAGATCTTCACTGTTTGGACAACAGACCCGTCACCAAAGTGGCTCAGATGTGGTAGGTGGTGGGGAAGGGGACTGGGGCCCTGTCTCAGCCCTTCACCCTCCACCTCTGCTGCCACTGCAGCCTCCTGGGAGTGTCTCTTCCTGGAGGAGGAATAGCAGGGCTCCTGGAAAGTCCCATCTCTGCTCTGGGGAGGCCATTCGAGGCCAGGGTGACTCAGGGTCCTGAAGTTGTGTCAGTGGAAACTTATTATCCCCTTTCTGCCTGACCCCACGTCCCTTGGTGCCCAGAGGTGGCAAAGGGCAGCACGCGGGAGTCAGGCGGCCTGGAGAAGGACCGTTCCCCAATTGGCCATCAACTTGCTATATGCCCTTGACCACACTTTTACTCCCTCCAGCTCTGGGCCTCTGTTTCCCCATCTGTTCAAGAAATTTGACTTTGATCATCTTTTAGGTGTTCCAACTCTGCATGGCATAGACAGTGGACCAACCTTTTTTTTTTTTTTTTTTTTTGGCAGCATAGTTTCCTCCTAATGAAGCCAGGCCAAGATTAAAATGGCCTTCCATTCCCCATGCGTCTCACTGCAAGCAGCAGTGCTGCAGATCTGAAGCAGGCCAGGGAGAAGCTGCTTAGGGTTTAAAATGTCAAACTCTTGATCCTTCTCACTGGAGGGGAGATGTCTCATGGATAATCCAGAAATGTGAAATAATCCAAAAACCGTTCCTCCTGGGCTCTGGGTGGGAAAATAAATGAATGTGGGGGCTGGGTGTTTGAGCAGGTCACAGCTCAGTGAGATACATAATGGAGCCATCCAGTGAGGCCTGAACACAGGAGGAACTGGGATGCCATCCAGCCCCACATTCTGGCCACACTCCCTACTCAGGGCTGGGAGTTGACAGCACTGTCCTCAGACTGATGCATTCAGTTGCTCCAGAGACATCTGTCCAGCACCCACTGTGACCCAGGCATTGGGAGGGCACCACAGTGAACACCACAGAGGAGGTCCTGGTCCTCAGGGGGCTTCCAGTTTAGAAAGAAGGACATTTGATAATCATTTGGTAACGATTGCTGTACAAAGGACTGCAAAAGAGGAAAAGGTAGGAGGCCGTGGGAGCCTGCAGCAGGCTGACCAGATCCTGAAGCTGATGCCTGAAGGGGCATCAGGTAGACAGGGAGTGGGAAGAACATTCTGGGCAGAGGGAACAGCGATGGGTAAAGCCCTGGGGTAGGAAGGAGCTCAGATTTGAAAAACTGATAGGAGGACAGTAACACTGACTGAGCAGGAAGGGCAGGCAGGGCATTGGAAGGACTATATTTGAACTATATTTTTTGAACTATATTCCAAGACCAGTGGGAACCATTGAGGAGTTCTCCGCTAGAAGGCTCCCCCCACCTCAGCCCCACGCCCCCCACCGAGCAAGTATCAGAAGTAGTGGTTCAGCTCAGCCTCACATCTTGAGCCCCTCGATGCCCGTCGCAGTACCAGGCATAGGGGAAGCAAAGCAGACACGGCTCCTGTCCTCAGAGCTCAGTATCCGCCCCAGGAAGCTAAAACCAGTACCTGGTGGAAAGTGGCAGGTGCCCAGACGTAGGGAGAAACAAAGCTTATGTACCAGGAAGGTGGGTGTTAGGGTCAGAAGTCATCTTTCAGAACTTCTGGTAAAAAAAAGGGACACATATCTGTGCTGGGGACTTCATGCAATGCTGCCTCGCTGACCCTTCACAGCAGGCCAGGAAATGGTTGCACCCTCCCCCTGGCACCCCATCAGAGAATCGAGGAAGCAGGTGCAGCTCTGAACCTTGCCAGGGTATCCACAGTTAGTGAATGGTGTAGTCAGGATTTGAACTCAGTATTGCTTCCCCAGAACCTGGGTACCCTGCCACGCCACTCCCCCTCCAGCCCATGCCACTGACTCACCATCCACCAAATGACAGATTGGACACTCCCTACAAATGTTTCTGGGTCTGACATTTTAAATGGATTTTGAGGTTCTATGGAAGCATTTGAACTTGACCTTGAAAAATAGGCAGGATTTGGACAGCCAGAGACTTGGGGGGGGTGGGGGGAGGGCATTCCAGGCAGAGGGAACTGTGGGCAAGGGGAGGTCACACCCCACTGTGAGTTAGAAGAGGAAAGCTCAGGGGAGCCAGAGTTGGAAATGTGGGACCCCCTTGGTCAGAGAACTGAGCTGGTGGGACAGAGAGGGAAGGGGTAGGGGGTGGGGAGCGCTTGGGCCCCATCTCCAGTCCCTTAGATGGAAAGCAGAGCCAGGGAGACTGACTCCACACTGGGCCCTCATGACTGAAGATCAGCCCTACCTAGACCCTGGGGATGGGGATGGGATCAGGAAGGGCCCTCCAAGGTGCTCAGGAATGTTAAGTCCCCCTGTCCTCCCTATTCCCTCTCAGGCCTGGACCTGAGGCCAAGAGAAATGTCACAGGTCTTCCAAGGTTACACCAGCCTGGGGCCTGACCAGAGCAGGAAGCAGTTTCCAACCAAGGCCACTAAGCCAGCCAGGGTCAGGAGGCATGCCCGGACCTGGGCCAGGCCCTGGCTGCTCTGTGCTTTGTCTCTCTGTGTCTTGAAACCTCAAGAGGTCGCTTGATCTTGCCTCTGGCTCTGAGCAAGAAGCCCTCACGTCTGGGGTCAGCCATCTCTCCCCGGCCTCTTGCGGGCTCTTTTTCACACTGTCCTCCCTCCCATCCTATTTCTTGCCTCTCGCACAGCCATTTTCAGGCCAGGCCTTCTCATTCTGAGCCCTCATTTCCTGGAACTATAATCTCTCTGTGAACATGCCCTCTCATGCTCCTCCTCCCCCATTTCCCCACATCCCTGTGGACCCGGAAGAACCTGAGGGGGTGAGGCCCTGAAACGGGAGGATCGTGGCAAGGAGCATGCGTGTAGGTGCAGACCAGCCTCCGTGCAGGGCCTGGTTCCATCCCTTACCAGTTATGTGACCTGGTGGGTCACATCACCTTGCTGCATATCTTGTAGAATTAATGAGATTACCCCTGAAGCCCTTAGCCCGGTCCCTGGCACACAATAGGCACGTAGCCAGTGGTTGGTAAGTGAGTGGATAAATGCCTCCCACCAGCTGAATTCTGTCACCCAGTCTATGTGACACACACACACACCTCTGACCCTTTCCTCCTTGCTCCGGACTTTGTAGCTAGGCTTCCTTCACCTGCTGTCCCTGCTGTCTCCTAGGAAGGATTTTGTATCTAGTGTGGGTTTGGGGCCTTTGGTGGGAGGCTGTGAAACAAACACCACCTAGTTTTTGGCCGATTCGTCCCTGGAGAGGGGAGTGGTGCAGAGACAAGGTAAGTCACAGGCTCCACCCCAAGGCCTCTGAAGCCTGATGGGCAACGGGACCCAGACTTCTAAATGACCCGGGTCAGCTAGACACGCTTCCCATGCGGTTCTTCGCACCAGTCCCCTCTGTCAGTGCAGATCATCTGAAAAAGATAGCCTTGTGACTTTGTAATACATCGTGGTTTTTTTTTCTCCCAGCAGATTTTCCATCTTTGTCATCATGACTTTTGCTGCCATAGTGCCCTCTATGCTAGAGGGCAAGGGGACGTAGGTTAATTCTGTGTTCAACACACACAAGCCAGCCACACCTGCCCTGGGCCAGGTATTGCATCTGGTGCTGAGGATACCACTGAACGAGACAAGCAATGTCCTGCCCTCATGGAGTTTACAGCCTATAAACAGGTGTTCATTGAAAGCCTCCATGTGGGCATCACTCTCCAGGGCAAGGACTGAAATAGTCCCACCGGATATACCAGGGGCCGCCCTCCTGAACCATGAGCAGGGCGAGCAGCAAGAGCTTCCCGGAGGCAGAAAATGGGTCTTGAACAAATTTGAGGCTCCAGAAGCTGTAGCCTTGGGTCAGTGCAACCAGTGCCTGCCACATCTCTGCCC